TCAAAGGTCATGTGATTACAACAAGCGGAGTCAAAGTACCAGGAAGTGTTACCTGTGGTGACAGACAAGGCAGGAGAGGAAGGGGTACCGGATTTTTGCCAAAAATGTTGAAACATGGCTTCGACATCTGTGTGAGAGAAGACTGGAGTGGAAGGATCTATAGGGACAGGGGAAGGTAAATCCTCTGAGGCAGCAGCAGCAGTGCGTTGAGCAGGGAGTGGTTTAAACGGAGTCCCAGAACCATGTGAGGTGCTGCGGGAAAAATGCCCGGGGGAAGGACCATTGCGAGAAGCACGGGCGGGATTGCGGAAGCAATCTTGCTGGAGATGACCAGGACCAGTCTTGTTGCAAAACCGACAGAGGCGAACAGGACAATTAACCAGAAGATGAGTCGACGGAAGACTGCGATTTTGACAGTAGTTGCAGAAAGTTGACTGCTTGAAAGGTGACTTCTGTGGTGAAGTTGACCGCTTGAAATGTGACTTCTGTGGTGAAGGTGGGGAAGGAGAACTCCGAGTCTGGGGAGTAGCAAGAACAGAGTCCACAGGGTGCGGATGGAGAGTACCAAACCGAGTTTCCTCTGACAGGAGCTCAGAAATTGCTTGCTCAAGAGTGGGTAAAGGAGTGCGATAGAGGAGAGAGGCGCGTACTGGCTCAAAACGGGAAGTAAGAGCCATGAGAAACTGAACCAAGCGATGTTGGTCACGGTAAGTAGTAAACAACAGAGTCCTTAGTACAATCCCATGGAGGTTCAGAAAGAGCGAGCTGATCCCAAACATAATACATTTGGGAGAGGAAATCATAATGGTCTGAGTGGGCGCATACGGTGAAGATGACTCAGAAGCTGATATTGGTGAGCAAGGCCAGTAGTCTGACAGCGTTCTTGTAAAAAATCCCAGATGGCCTTGGCTGGAGAGGAAGCAGAGTCAAGTTGGAACCGACCAAACTGAGGGCTGATAGATGTAATAGAAGTATTGCGAAACCAAGTAATGATCTGATAGTTTTTACTATCCCAATCCTCCAGACGGTCGACATATTTGGCGGCGGATTTCGTGGTTGCTTGGATGGGTTTGCACACATCCCCAGTGATGATGCGCCAAAGTTTCTTTCCTTTGAGAAACCCAGACATAGCTTGTGCCCATAAGACATAGTTAGTCCCGTCAAGAACAACGGAAATAGGGTGGTTAGAGGAGTCGAGGCGATCCATGAGGGCAAAATCGTACTTTCGAGGTAGAATTTAAAAAATCCGAGGGTACCAGTGAATTCAGAAGGTCGAAATCAGTGGGAAAAGAGTGAACTGACCAAAAAATAGGACCAGAAAGGCACTAAATGGGCTGGTCAAAGTGGCTGGTCAAAATTCGGTCAAACAGATGATGTCATGGGCGACAGGGCTGACGTCATAGGCGCGGCGCACGTTAGCAGAGAGGTGCGCGGCGCACAATAGGAGAGGACAGCAGGCGGCGCACGAAAGCAGTAGGGCTGACGTCAACTGACGCAGAAACACGCGGCTCACGTTAGCAGAGGAGGCCACGACACACAGTAGCGCGGGACAGTGCAGAGGCGCATAGAGCGCGTCGGAGAACAAGGATGCGCGTGGCCTTAAGTTCTGGCGGCGCGTGGAGGCGCGTGGAACTTCGGCTGGTGATAAATTTGGTGGCGGTGGATTCGTCGTGAGGAGACGAAGAGACTGGTGTGGTTGAATAGGGAAGACAGAGAAGGTCGAGAGATGCAACAATCTGTCCAAATGTGATGCAGACGAGAGACACAGCAGTCTGCGAAGAAGAAGAAAAAAAAAATGTAGAGACTAGGCAAAACACCTGTGCTCTGATACCATGAAAAATGAGGTGTGTATATTAAATTTTGTTGTACATTTACAAAGGGAGCTTAGCTCTCTTCTTATAGCCTGTCATTGGATGCAAGGCATGCGAGACGCGAGGCACCGAAAGGCTAAAGCTAGCCGAAAGCATAAAGCTAAAGCTTAAAGCTAACAAACATAATAATAACAACTAACGTATACAATGCTAAAGAATAATAAACAATGCTATAATAATATACAAAGTATAATAATATACTAACAAGCTACATGAAAGAATATTCATATAATTTTTTTTTGGGGTCAATTGGGAGAGTTAAACAACGGTTTGATTTAATAGTAAGACTTGTTATTAATGTTATTAATAATGTAAGTTTTAAGTCACAAAAATAATTCTTTTAGAATGAGAGCGGCTTTTTTTTTAGTTAAAAAGAGATATAATTCACCAAAAATGCTAGGTGCGTAGAATTATAATATAAAAAGTGCATTATGTGATTATGATTTATTCAAAGTGTGATTCACCTCACACCCAAATAAAATCTAGACACTGTGCTTTTTGTTACATTGAATTTTTACTATAACATCTTTTTCACTTATCAGAGTTGAACTTAAGAATTTGAGGTAATAATACTCCAACCAAATATCATTAAACTACAAGAGTTACAACAAAATAATCGTATTTAGAAGGCTTTGGGATGCTTGGTTGCCCTTTATTGAGGTCTACTCTGGGTTTACCAAGGTGATCCAAACCGTCACTTAAAAAAATATATTATTTCGATTGAATTTCTTTTGTTTTTTAAAATTCATATATATTTGACAACAATGTGTGCAAGCATGCACATGTATCAGCACAACTCCACGTTGATTGTGTACACAAGTCTTTTTTTTTTGGTGTGGTTTCCCTATTTATGTTTCTTCTTGCCTACCAAGAGTTTGTTTATGTGTTTTTTGTGAAACTATAATGATGTTCTTGCTGAAGAATCAGAAGCTTGCAGGCCTAGTTTGAAGCAAAGTTGTTTTGTGGAGCCATTTTGTACATATTGCAGTTGGGTATCTTTATTAAGATTGATTATGCATCATTTAAGTGTAGGGGAGTGAAAATAGTTGAAAATATTAAAAAAAGGGATGAACTGTTGATATCAGTTGCGTTATACTAGGCAAGTCTTCAGTTGCATCTTATCAATTTTTATCATACAAGAGGAGTCTCTGTAAAAAAAAGATAGACACGAGTTAACAATACGGATTGAGCAAAATAGTTTTAAACTTAAATCTTTTTTCTCTTTATAAAAGTAATTGTCTTTCCATTTTTCATGAGTGATGTCTTGAAGAAAATAGACAATGAGAATTTGATGATCGCATTAGGCTTTAGTACAAAATTTTTCTTGCATTTTGAAATTTGATACACATACAAATTTTCTGGATAAGGTTGAAATGAGAAAGAAAGGAAAAAAACAAAGCTTTGCTCGCGGAAACTAGAGGTGGCATAGTGCTAATGCCTAGTGTGCAATGCTTTAAACAAAAATGTTTTTATGCATTGTGAAAATAATACTTACAGAAGTAAAATTACTTGCTTCTAAATCATATGCTTGTACTTTGTGCAGGGCCTTATCGAAGCTTGAAATGTTGAAGCGTCGTGGAAAGGGACCACTGAAGAAGGCCAAGGAAAGCTTGCTGCCAAACACAACAAATAGATATATATCTCTTTGCAGACTACAGATGGTGTTGGATTAGATCATTAGTGTTCTTCTGTAGAACTTAGCTGCTACCTCTCTTTTTGTTGATCTTGACAACCTTTAGGAAATTAATGTTTATGTAGAACATACTTAGTTAATATTTTCCTTGAATGAAATCAGTAATTTAAAAAGGACAAAAAAAAAAAAACAAAAAGTTGCTAACCTCAAAACACGGATCTAATGGTTCAAGCTTTAAAGATCAAGCTTGGGATCTAGCTCTCTCACTCAAAACTTCTCTTCCTCTTCCCCAAAATGGGGTTGCCCAATATGTTTATCGGTTAATTATGTTACTTTGTTTTTCATTTTATTTACTTATTTATATTTCTATGAGAGTTAAGTAATGTAACCCAAGTTGAGTAGTTAAAAATTTTAAAATTTTGAAGATGGGTTTAAGTTTGTTACTTTTGAAACCATTCACAAATTAATTTTAATCGAGTTGAATTTAAATAATTTAATTTTTAATCTTATCAAGTTTTTTAATAAGTTATTTAAATTAAGAATTATCAAACTTGAAATGTATTCAAACATAACTTAAAAATCAGTCACAAACAAATTCCTTAACGAGTTGAGTATTGTAAATTTAATCTTTATAGTTTTAGTTATATATCAATTTTGTTTCAATTTTTATATTATGTTAATTTAATTCTTTAATAATATTCATTAAGAAAATAAATTAAAAAAAATATTTTGAAATAAATTTTTTTATTTCAAATTAGACTTCAACCATCAATCATAAGAGTAAAGAGATTATTATTCTCCTTAAATTGAATTCAATTTCTAAAAATTTGATACAATCAGAACTAAAAATATCAAATTAACTATAATTTGCCATAAAAGAAAAAAGAAAAAGAAGATAAATTACAAATACACCTCTTGAAATTTACTTTTCTAAGATTATATCTTGTCCTTTCAAGTTTATAATCACATAACAAATGGTTATTTTTATTAACAAATAATGAAATCAATTAACAGTTTTTAATAATATCATAAATATATTTTAACTAATAATTTAAGTAATTTTATTATTATAAAAAAGAATAGTAAAGTTTTTTTTTTTTAATTATGTTAAACAAAAATTTAGATTATTTATACAAAAATCTTATAAACTATTGAGAAGTATCGCTTTGACATTATAAATTATAAAAGCATATGAATGAACATTCTAAACTAATGAAAAATATCATTTTGCCCCATAACTATAAAAGTATATAAATGAACCTTTTAAAGTATAAAAGCATACAAATTAGATCCCGTAACGAAATGAGTCAAAATGAAACATGAATATAATTTAGGAAATATATTTATATATTTTTATAATTTATGAGTAAATTAATATTTCTTAATAGTTTAAAGTGTTTATTTATATGATTTTAATAGTTTAAAGGGTGAAATTAATATCTCCCGATAATTTAAAAGGTCTCGGAGTAAATAATTTTTTAAAATTAAAAGTTATTGTAATTTTTAAAAGAATTGATTCAGCCGATTTAAATGGTGGCTGGCGGCTCTGGAGTGTCGTCTCTCTCTGTCTCTCTAGTTCAAGCTCTCCATTGATTCAATCCAAGCCAAGCCAGAATGTTCACAAAAGTCTCTACTTTTACTCACAAACTGAGCTAACTCATGCCCATCACTATCTCAATCCGAACTCGCCTCATATGGAAGCTCTCTTCAATCCCATGTAAGTTCTCTCCTTCTTGCTCTCACAGTAACACCGTTTCATCGACCCAAACTTCCCCAATTGAACCCCCAATTTCCGATGAAATCTTCAAGTCCGGACCCAAACTGGGTTCTTACAAAGTGGGTGATTCCACATTCTATTCTCTCATTGAGAACTACGCCAACTCTGGCGAATTCGCTTCGTTGGAGATGGTTTTCGATCGAATGAAGCGCGAAAGAAGAGTCTTTATAGAGAAGAGTTTCATTCTAGTGTTTAAATCCTATGGAAAATCTCATTTACCCGAAAAAGCTGTTGATTTGTTCTATAGAATGGTGGGTGAGTTTCAATGCAGACCAACTGTTCGATCATTTAACTCGGTTCTTAATGTGATTATCCAAGCGGGTTTGTACTCTCGCGCGTTGGAATTTCATTCGGATGTTGTTGTTGGTACTAAGAAAATTTTGCCGAATGTGTTAACTTTCAATTTGGTTATCAAAGCAATGTGTAGATTAGGATTAATTGATAGAGCTATTGAGGTGTTCAGAGAAATGCCGGTGTGGAATTGTGCACCCGATGTGTTTACTTACTGTACTTTGATGGATGGGTTGTGCAAAGAGAATAGGATTGATGAGGCTGTGCTTCTTTTGGATGAGATGCAAACAGAGGGGTGTTTTCCGAGCTCTGTGACATTTAATGTTTTGATTAATGGCCTTTGCAAGAAAGGTGATTTGAGTCGTGCAGCAAAACTTGTGGACAACATGTTCCTCAAAGGTTGCGTACCAAATGAAGTGACTTATAACACCCTTATTCATGGTCTGTGTCTGAAAGGAAAATTGGACAAGGCAATTAGTCTTTTGGGTAGAATGGTATTATACAAATGTGTTCCTAATGATGTCACTTATGGAACAATCATCAATGGGCTTGTTAAGCAAGGGAGAGCTGTTGACGGTGTTCAAGTGATGATTTCTATGGTGGAAAGAGGTCATCACATGAATGAGTATGTCTTCTCAATACTTATTAGTGGGCTGTTCAAGGAGGGAAAATCCGAAGAGGCAATGAGACTGTGGAAGGAAATGTTAGAGAAGGGATGCAAACTCAATACTGTTGTTTATAGTGCACTTATAGATGGTTTTTGTAGAGAAGGAAAACCTGATGATGCTAAGGAAATTCTGTCTGAGATGGTGACTAAGGGTTTCATGCCCAATGCTTTCACCTATAGCTCGTTGATGAGGGGTTTCTTCAAAACAGGCAATAGTCACAAAGCAATTCTTGTGTGGAAAGAGATGGCAAATAACAATTGTATGCATAATGAGGTTTGTTACAGCGTACTTATAAATGGGTTGTGTGAGGATGGAAAGCTTAAGGAGGCTATGATGGTGTGGAAGCAAATGTTGGCAAGAGGATACAAACCTGATGTTGTGAGTTATAGTTCAATGATCCATGGCCTCTGCAATGCTGGGTCAGTGGAAAAAGGATTAAAACTTTTCAATGAAATGCTTTGCCGAGATTCTGTTTCTCAACCAGATGTCATAACCTATAACATACTTTTCAATGCTCTTTGCAAGCAGCATAGCATTTCCCATGCCATTGACCTTCTAAATAATATGTTGGACCAAGGCTGTGATCCTGACTTGGTTACGTGTAACATTTTCTTAAAAGCTTTGAAAGAGAAGCTGAACCCTCCACAAGATGGGAGCCTGTTTCTGGATGAACTTGTGCTAAGGTTATACAAGCGACAGAGAATTGTTGCGGCTTCCAAAATTGTAGAAGTAATGCTTCAAAAGTTTCTTCCTTTAAAGGCCTCCACTTGGGAAAGGGTTGTTCGAGAACTTTGCAAACCTAGGAAGATTCAAGCAGCCATTAATAAGTGCTGGAGTGAACTGTTCTGCTGATGTCTTTGGTGAGACTTTCTCTAATGACATACTTTTTAGTGATATTCATTGTTGATTTTATACAGAATTTTGAAGTTTTGTTGTGTTAGGAAGTGTAATAGAAGCCATCTATGTACTTGTCAGAAAAGGAGGGGGAAAAAAAAAAAAAGTAATAGAAACCATCTGTGCATCTCAGATCAAAATTTTTGTACCATTTACACAATTCATAGAGCTCTTACGACTGCATCAGCATGTTGAGCTTTCAGACTCACTATGACTAGGGATTGATTATACTCTGGCAAGGAATCAAAATTTCTTGGATAGTTGATCTCTTCATTTCTTATGTCTTTATGCAAACCTGGCTGTGGTGGTACCGGATAGTCCCTTTCTCTTCAATTTTCATTTTTCTTCATATAACCTCTTTCTGGCCGTATACTCCTTAGATGATGATCTTTCATTGTTTTCTAAGACAAAAATCAAGGAAGTTAAAAAGAAGAAAGAACATTTTATTTAACTGTCTCTGACGTTTAGCACAGTAGGAGGTGCTGATCATGTGGGATAGAAGAGGAGAATTTACTCCATGTCGTTGTCTTTCCAAACCAAATGTGTTGATGATGGCCTCCTTGGCTGTTTTGATGTGTTATGGCCCAGTGGAGAGTGGAGAAAGGGGAGATTTATGGGAGGAGTTAGCTGCTATTGGTTTTGGATGGGATATCTTGTGGTGCAATGGAGGAGATTTTAGTATGGTTAATTTTCCTATTGAAAGGTGAACTTGCTCTTCCATTAATAGATTCATGAGGGACTTTTTGGATTTCATTGACGATTTAGAGTTGTTTGGGTCTTCCTTAAGTTAGGGAACCTTTAGATGGTCTTACAATCAAGGGGTGCCTATGTGCCGAGACTGACTTTGGATCATGCATCTATTCTCCTTGATTGGGGACATATAAGGAGTTGAAGAGTTTGTTTCGATTTGAAAACAATTGGCTTCAAGTGGAAATACTTTCAGCAGCCTATTGATGTGAATCATATTTAACCCGATGGCAGAAAATTCAGACCCAAAAATAGCTGCACCAAATCTTGTTTCTCAAGGAGGGTAATTTGGACCCACATCACCATATTTGCCAAATTTGAATCTACTTAAGACTCATTTATTACTCTTGCTCTCTCTCTCTCTCTATGGCATTTTCATGGGGCTGTGCAGATCATATTTCAAGATCTATTTGATTGTGATTTGTGTATAGGCTACCTACACGTATACCTTTGTTTCAGCACACATAAATACACAACACACATTTCCATATAGAGAGAAACACAAAGAGAGAGAGAGAGAGAGGGAGAGAGATAGTTCCTCTTTCATTGCTGCCACAAGTGGAACCTGTTTTTTCTTCTCGCTAGTGTTACATTGAGAATAACTTGCTCTTTTCAGATACTAATTTCGAAACTTGTAGTATTCTATTATTAAACTGTTTCGCAGCACTCATCAAGAAGGATCCTTCTCAACAGGGCATGAGAGATTTCAGTAATTCAAGGCCCTGCAGTTCCTACGGTGTCTGCCTCAGCGACCGTCATTGATTCTGGATTGTGTTGTTCATGAGCCATATCGTAAGTCGCATGGAGACCAAAAAACACATAGTAAACCAGCATTACAGCAGTGCAAACACCGAACCTTATAAACGCCTCAGCTCCCAAAGATCCCATGAGAAACAAATTCGTTGCAATTGACAAAGATGGTAACCACGGGACAAGTGGGACCCCCCAAACCTTTGGTGTCCTCTGCTGTGGCAAGAGCACTGAAATCCCTAGAGTCCCCAAGAACCAAAGAGGAACAGTGACAGCATAACCAACCCAACCGTTGGGGCTGGATCCCCAGTAAGCTGTGGTCCCCATGGATGAAGCAATAATGATCAGCAACAAGATAACTAACTTCAGGAGGTGTACTTGAGATGTGACCCCTCTTACATAATATCTCCTGACGAGAAGTGCAACTGCCATCATCATAAATATGAACAATGTGCTCACGGATAACAAAGATGCCAAAACGTCCAAGCTCGAAAAGAAAGCAATGCAAGCACTGCAAATGGTTATCAACAGTGTAGCATTTATTGGGGTTCCGGTCTTTGGGTGGACGAGAGCGAACCATGGCGGGATCATGTGGGCCCGTGCAATATGAGTAGTGTAGCGTCCCTGCCCGAGCGCCCCTACCAGAAGAACTGTGGTCATCCCCTTGAGAGCTCCAAGTGCTACCAGGTACTTCGCCCATTTCATACCCACACTCTCAAATGCAACGGAGTAAGCTGCATTGGGGTCTATGTCTGTGTACTTCTGCATCATGCTCAACGAAAGAGCCATCAAGCAATATACAACGGTGATGATTGACATCGACCCAAGCAATCCGATTGGTATGTCTCTTGATGGGTTTTTTGTTTCCTCTGCCATGGTTGCAATATTGTCAAATCCGCCATAGGCAAAGTACACGATCGCTGCTGCTTGGAAGACCCCTTTCACACCATAAGGCAGAAAAGGTGTCAGATTAGAGGTTTTTGCATGTGCAAGCCCTGCAATTATCACAAACAAAATTACAACAGTGTTTATTGCAGATGCAATCCAATTGAAGTACGAGGTTTTCCTTGTGCTCAATATAGCAATTGTCGCTGCAATGGCTAGAACTGCAACAGCAATTGGGTCCAGAAGGTTGTATCCACTTGCAAGATTTGTCTGTATACGCAGGGAATTGGAGTGACGGTTCAGAAGAGTTGTGAAGTAAGAAGTCCAAGCTCTAGCGACAGCTGCACTTCCAATGATGCTTTCAAGAAGTATGTTCCCTGCTGTTATAAATGCTGCAAAGTCTCCTAGTTCTACTCTCAAGTAAGCGAACGATCCACCGGCTACAGGAATTTCTATTGCGAATTCGGTGTAGCAGAAAACGGAGAGCATTGCTGAAACACCCGAAGCAACATAGGATAAAACAATGGCTGGTCCGGCATGGTCATGGGCTTCTTGGCCCGTGAGCACAAAGATGCCTGCTCCAATCACAGAGCCAAATCCAAACCAGGTCAGGTCCCACCATGTCAGGCACCGTTTCATATCGTTTTCACTTTGTTTCCGGAGCTCCCCAATCTCGTTGGCATCGTCCGATCGGCTTACGAGACGGTCCTTGAACCGTGAACATGTATGCAATAGCGCATAACGGTATGTTCCCCAGTTTTTGAAAGATTCTTCTGGAAAAAAATCTTGTTTGCTCCATCTCCAATAGGTTTTTGGTTGTTTGACCTCATCACTCATTGAACCCATTTCTATCTTTCTTGCCTTATTTCCCCGTCTTCACTATTTGTAATTGATAGCGAAGACAAGTGAGCTGGAGATGAATGCAATGCCAGCTCTCTTATATAAGTAATATATTTTGTGAGCCACTACCCACTGTTGCTACAGAAAGTGAATATCTTGTGGAAGAGATTTTAAAAAAAATGTTTTCTTTCATTGTTTTCTTATAGAATCATTCACCAAAATATTATGCCAATACTTTTTTTTTTTTTTATAGTAACTCATTTTGATATATTTTGTGTTTGTATGTCGTTACTCGAGACTTTATTTTTCTTTGGTCTGATTTATTGATTGGTGAAGAAATTGATTTCTTGTGTTTGACTTGGTTATGAAGAGTAGGACAAACATGATGTTTGTATACTACCACCATACTCTGTTGTCAGATTGAATGTGGTATCCAATGGAGAAAGCAACTGGCGCCATTTTTATTTCTATCAAGTGGGTATTTGACACGAAAATTGAAGTTCTTTCGTTTGTCATTTTATTCAAAATATCTTCTTCTTTTTTTTTTAAATAATAATAAATGTATTTGTATTGAGGCCACATGAGTTATGGCATTTCGAATCGTGCTTGGAATGAGGAATTGTTGTAGGTTAGCTTAAATTTTACTAATTTTTTTTTTTATAGCTAATTGTTATATACTTATTGCTATGTGTTTAGAAGAAGCCACGACCCAATTCATAACTTTTTGGCCACATTGAGGACGAATCTAGGGCGGTTAGGCCTGCATACGTATGGAGTTTGACTCTATATCCTGGAAATGTGCCCATCTCTCTAAAGTTGTTTTTGACACGTCTACTTTTTTGAGCTACATGAAAGAATATTCATATTATTATTATTATTTTTTTTTTTTGTCAATTGGGAGAGTTAAACAACCATTTCATTTAATAGCAAAAAAACAGTTCTTTCAGAGTGAGGGTGGCTTTTTTTAGGTAAGAAGAGATATAATTCACTAAAAAATGCTAGGTGCGTAGAATTATAATATAAAAGTGCATTATGTGATTATGATTTATTCAAAGTGTGATTCACCTCACACCCAGATAAAATCTAGACATTGTACTTTTTGTTACATTGGATTTTTACTACATCTTTCTGGTGGTGTTTGGGAAGCAAGTTCCCAAATTTTTTTCTCATTTTTTCCACTAAAAGACAAAAGTTTTGCAAAACCAAAAAAAACACATCCAAACAAAATATCACATCCAACCCCATAATCATTTCACTTTTTCTCTCACAAACATCACATCCAACCACATAAAAACCCAACTATCTTCCCAAACACCAAAAATTTTTTATCTCATAAAAACCTACATCTACTAAAATCTACATAAAAACTCACTTCCCAAACACCATCTCTCACTTATTAGAGTGAAACATAAGAACTCGAGGTAATAATACTCCAACCAAATATCATTGAATTACAAGAGTCACAACAAAATAATCGTATTTAGAGGGCTTTGGAATGCTTGGTTGTCCTTTATTGAGGTCTACTCTGGGCCTACTGAGGTGATTCAAACCTTCACTTACGGGCGTTGGACTCAGGTCCCGTTTGTTTTCAGAGACAAAATGGAAGGGATTGATAGTGAGGGAATTAAGTAAAATTGTGTTTATTTTGATGATAGTTGTTAGTGTAGGGATTGTTAAATTATTTTTATATAAAACAAATATAAAATAATAAAACAAATAAAAAAATACAAAAACATTAAACATTAATGTTTTTTAAAAAATGCTCAATATGTAAAAAAAAATTAAAAAATAAAAATGAAATAAAAAATTTCTCCCAAAAAAAAAATAAAACAAATAAAACAATGATATTTACTTAACAAAAAATACAAAAAAATTAAATATTAATGTTCAAAAAAAATGCCCAACATGTAAAAAATAAAATAAAAAACAAATAAAAAAAAATTTCTAGTCTGCCGAACTATTTTTCTAATATCAAGTTTTTGAGGCCCATTCGAATCCCCTTGGGGAGCCCCATCATAATCCGGAGCTCACTATCAATTCGTTCCCCATCTCTCAAAACAAACACAATATTAGTGAGTCCCACCTCACTACTAATTCCAATCCCCCTTATAATTCTCCAAACAAACGGGGCCTCAAGGTAATAATACTCCAACCAAATATTATTGAACCGCCCAAGTCTTGACAAAATAATTGTATTAGAGCATTCGCATCAGCCTCTTCAAATTTTTAAGCTAATTTAACCCAAAATCTACTTTTTCTATTTTAACTAGTCACATTTTTAGTATTCACTGCATCAGACTCTCTATTCTAAGTCAATCTTATTAAAATATTAATTTCTTATTGCATTTATTATTCTTTCTTTTTTATTGAATTGATGAGGTGTCACTAAACAATTCTTAAAAAATGCAAAAAAAAAAAAAATGCCTATGACCGGTCGACCACCCAGTCGACCGATTAGGCTAATTTTCGACATTTTTCTTCTTCTGCTACAGGCACTCACAGAACATCCGGTTGGATATCCGGGAGGACAATCGGGTGGACGATTGGGTTAAAGATTTTGGCCCAATTTTGCTTCAGAAAATATAATAAAAAATAATGTAGATTGTTGAGGCTGATGGAGGAATGATTTGATGGTGATGCTCTCTACAATAGATTCAAAACTATTATAGAGAGCCTCATATTGATGCTCTTAGAGGGCTTTGGGCTGCCTGTTTTGCCCTTCATTCATGGCATACCTCACATGGTTGTTAGCATTATATATATAAATATATATGAGTAATATTATGAATGCACTTTTATTAATTCAGAAATTATTCAAAATTTTTATTTTGTAATTCAAATTTGTTTGACATATAAACTCCATATGGGGTCTTTTGAGAAGAGGGTAAAAAGCTTAGCTTTTTATTCATTTTGTGTCGCATCACCTCTCATATTTTTTATGTATAAAAAGATAAAATAAATTAAAAAAGTCAAAAAATTAACTTTTTACCAACCTTTCAAAACACTCCTATATAAATTTAATCTCCATCATATAACCATCCATCTAAAAAATTTTGAGTGAGCAAATCTTGGTCTCCTATAATTTTCCTATATATATTTGCATGTGATACGAAGAAAATGGTGAAAATCATTGAATGGTAGTACAGTTGCGACTCTGCTCCATCAAAGTGACATGTCTTGATGGCAACTTGCTCGAGCTTGAGAATATCACCTATTTTGAAAAATAAGTTAAAAGTTAAATTTTTAATTTTTTTTAAATATGTAAAAAAATAAAGATGATATGATTTAAAATGACCAAAAAATTTAAAAATTAACTTTTTATCCCAATGCCAAAATAAGCCTATGTTTAATGGTGCATTGAAGACCACCACTAGTGAGATCAAAGCAACCGTGAATGTTATTTGTTCATCTTCCAAATATTATTTAGGTTGTATTTGAATAATAAATTTAGATAAAGTTTTAAAAAATAAAAGAGAAAAAGTATATAAATTATAATTATATTTCATTCACAATTTACCCACATGTTTTTTTTCCCCTCAAATCTCTACTTAAAGATTCATAGACAATCTTAAAATGTACAATTTAATTTTAAATAATAATACTGAGTTTGGGAAGACTAAATAAGTGCACTTTTTGTCTTTTTAGACTAAAAAGTTGAGGTTGAAAATATGAATGTTTGGGTTAACTTTTTGACTTTTTATGGAAAAATGTGTAATAAAAAATTGTAAAAATTGATTTGTAGGAGAAAATTAGAATTGGGAGTTGTGCAGCAGTAATTGTTGACTTTTGGTGAATATTGATAACTTTTTAACTTTTTGAGTAACTTTTTAACTTTTTGGCTTTTTGGGGTGTTCCCAAACTTGGCCTTAGTTTTAATTTGATATTTCAATTCAGACCACACCAAAAATATATATATATATATATATATGGAGAGGAGAAGCGCTTGTAAATTGAAAGCCAGTTGCTTTAATAAAATATGAAGGCCATGTTTAGTTTATATTTGTAAAATAATTTTGTAGAAAGAGTTTATAAAATTTAAAAATTTATTTGGTTGTATATTTTAAAAATAGTTTTGGAGTTTGAATTTTTTTTTTATAGTTAAATAAATGAGTGTGAGAAAAAAAAAGAAAAAAAAAAGAGAGAGTAATTGATTGATGTGTAGGATGTGAGAGAAAGAGAGAGGAGAAGAAAAAAGTAATTTTGAAATTTCTTTTTAAAACTTTTTTAACCAAATAAAATTTTGAGATTTTTAAAAAAAATTGTATCTCTAGATACAAATTAAACAAAAGATTCCTTTGCTCGGATGCAACTCTGCTGTTTTTTTCTTCCCAACCAATGAAGATTCTATTGATTGATTCCCTTTAACTCTTGAATTAGTTTTTTAAATTCACAGTTGCATATATTTTTTAAGATTGACAATGAATATATATCTATAAAAATGATTGGGATCTCTAATAAAAGAGTTCTGATGAACTTTAATAGGAGTGAGCCCACTGTAATTTGATATTTTGATCTTGTATTTTTTTTTTATTACTTATTATGTTATTATAACTCAATTAAAATTTTAAAATTAGAGAGATGTATCCTGTTCCTCTTTCAACCTATGATCTGGAGAGAGAACAACTAGTGACAGTAGCGTGTGAAACAGATAAATGCTGAAGAAATCATTGCATATCATAACCTCGTCTTTGATGTTTGAACCCCAATTTTCATACCGCCTGTTTTGACCCGTTAGATAAAAGTTAATTTTATGATTTTATGATTTTTTTAATTATATTAATTTTTTAATTTTTTTTATATATATATTTTTTAAAAATAAAAAAAGTCAACAAATTATATTTTAACCAACTATTCAAAACAGTCTTATGAAAGAGTTTAGATATTAGCCATATCTTTGATTGAGGAATTTAAAAAAGATTTTAAAAATAAAAGGGTAAATTATATAAATAGTTTCTATGGTTTGGGACTCGTGTCACTTTAGTTCCTGACTTTTTAATTGTGACATATTTGACTCTAAATTTTGAATCTTGTTCCAAATAAGGACAATTGAAGTTACCATTGTTTAATTTCAAGGGTAAAATCGTCAATTTAATAAACTATAAACTAATTTGATAAAAATAAATGTCAAAAAAATATTTTTAATTTTTTAAAAATTAATTTTATTCACCAATGATAAAATTATGTAAAATAGATAAAAATTAATAAAAATTACATGATTAATTTTTTAAAATTAATTTTATATGATAATCATCCAAACACATAATAAAAATTAATTTGGTAAAAATAAATAAATAAATGTTTAAAAGATTTATCAATTTTACATAATTTTATTTTTAGTGGATAGAAATAATTTTTAAAAATTCAAAAATATTTGTTTGACATTTATTTTTATCAAATTAGTTTATGTTTTATCAAATTGATGATTTTACTCTTGAAAAATCTAATAATATTTTCAATTGTCCTTATTCGGAACAAGATTCAAAATTCAGGGTCAAATGTGTCACAATTGAAAAGTCAAGGACCAAAGTGACACAAGTTCCAAACTATAG